GTAAAAGGGGTCATCGAATAGGGCTAAAAGGGGTATCGGTGTTCCGCCAGCTCCCCCCAGCGGTTTTAGGTGCCGCTTTCTGCGTTTGCAGCGGTGGAATTTATGCAAATTGCTTTCAATTTGCTTAGTCCATTGCTTTGTGCGCCAATTTTTGGCCGACTCGTGCCAATTGTCGGCTAAAAACGCAGCATCAATGGCGATTCAATGACGATGTAGTGGGTGGTTGTAACAACCAAATTTTGTTGGGGCTTTTGTAGCCGTTAAATTAGGCGAGCCAATCCATATTTTGAAATTCGGGACGAAATTGTAGCTATGTGTCACTATAATTTTAAGCTTTATGCTTAGCCTCCAGAGATTTCTTTTGTAATACTTTTGAAAATAGGAAAGAGAATGGAACATTTCCAAATAATAAAAGAGGGACCCTTTTAGAACCATCTATGACATATATTGACATGTCACGAGGAAATTTGATTTCTCTATGCCTTTTCCAAAACCCATTTCCAACAGGACCTGTGCATTTTCCCATCAACATCTTGGCCCGGCACTTGTCAAGTGCAATAGAAAACGCCTACAATGGATCTACATGCCCCAAGAATATTCACATTTGCAACAGCTCAAATTTCCGGCACAGCAGGCCCGCCCACCAAAATGCACTTCTTGTACGAGTTTGCCATTTTAACATATTTTGCACAAGCAAAGGCAGACGTGGGCACCTGCTTTAATAAAGCCTTCACCAGCAGACGAGCAGTCGACCAGGACAACTAGGACCCCCGGAGCAGGAAAAGGAACAAGAGCCTTGTACTGGCTGGAAAAGCAGTGGCTGATGTTGTAACAACTTCACACTACTTGTACTGTGATTACAATAGCAGCCAGCCTTGGCATGCAGGCTCTTTAATAAGTATGCAGAACGGAGTATCATTCATGGCTTAAATTTGGAAATACCATAAAAAAAAAAAAAAAATTATTTTAAAGATTTAAGTATTGGGGGAAAAGGGCAGAATCGAATATGAATCCATGGCTTTATTGATCCTTTATACTTGATCCTTTCCATCGCAATCAAAACTTGCTCGACAATTAACAAAAGCAACACGAGCTGGACACGAAAAAGGGATTGGGATTGGTGTGACTGAGCAGGAATTGTATTTTTTAACTCGTCTTCATGGATTGGACAGGAGAGTTGGAGTTGATTCAGTGTAGCATCCACCATTCATTTCCCCTTTCTCGTTTGAAATTTATTGTTGCAGATGCCAGAACAGGGATTCTGTTCTGTTCCCTGGTGTGGCGCACATGGTTCGACTTTTTTGCATGCAATATTCTATTGAAATATTTGCAAATTACTGGGAGATCTCATTCCTTGTCCATCGTCCATGGTAACGACGTTGAAGCCCAGCCCAGACAATGGACAATTTGTGCCATAGAATCAGGTATTTAAAATGTTCACGTCATATGGTGCTAGTTGGTCAGATTTAAGCAAATGTATATACCTACATGCACAATATGTAATATGGACAATGGCTGGAAGGCAACACGGTGAGCTGTCCATGCTCATAATTTATTACTGGGAACAAAGTTATTTTAGGCGTTGGACACGCACTCACCTACATCCTATAGTCTAATGTACTGAAAAAATAATTAATGGGTTTTGCAATTCTCCTGAATTTATAAACTTATTTCGAACTACATAAAGACTCTTATTTTCCTGAACTTATAAGATATTTTGCCAAGTGCATAGGAGAAGCACATATCCTTTGTGCTGCCGGCCAAGCCGGACTATTCATTAAATAAAATAAAGTTAGCTTGCAGTAATTGTCAACGACAGTTTGATGTTTCTGTGAAATATTAGAAGTAAATTGTTTTGCTGCCAGCTCCTTCGACCCATGCATATTTTGCTAAGAATATATGTTATATTCAGGACTGGCCCTTTATTGACAGTGTTGCAATTTGCTAAACTCGATTACCTCATGCATATGAAATGCCTGCCAGCTAGCGATGATGTATGACCGACCGAAAAATTTTCCATGATTAATGATTGGCCCTGCGATTGTTGCCAAAGCAACAGAATTTCTCTAGAAGATGATACAAATGGCGAATGGTCCTCAATTAAGTATGCGGCAAGGTCAAAACCCGAACAAACTCAATTAATATAAGCGGCGGGTCAACAATCAACGAAACCACGACATCCACTCCCCGTTGATGTCTTTCCAGCGTCAATGGCCGTAAAACGTGGCTTTAAAGTCGGCTTATGTCCTTGGTCTGCTCATTGTTGTTGGTGTTTGGGGTGGCTTGGAGTGGGCTGGGGCCATTTCACTAATTAAGCAAATATTTACTGGGCGCTTGGCCTTCGGTCCAGTAAAAAGTTATCTTGAAATTTGCACGCCCGCCGCTAGGAGACAAAAACAGATCCCCAGGACTTTGCTATTCCATGGCTACCACAATGGAGACTAAGAATAATTCCATGTCAACACACTCATAAATAATGGACTGAGAACCCGATGGGCCACTACTCCACCTCAAAGCTACCTCGACCAGCGGCATCATCATCATCAGCAATGTCAGATTCAAGTGGCCAGGTACAGACAAAGGCAGAGAGCCAGCCAAGTATTTATCATAAGCAGGGCTAGGGGCTTCCATCCATAAATAGAAGCTAACTGATACCGTATTTTGTTGAATTTAAATATAAATATAATGTATTAAATATATTTAATAAATATTCAAAACGTAAACTGATGTGTTGAGCCATATTTTCAAAATTATCAATAGCTACATGAGCAACAATATTTTCTTAAAATTCTTATTCCTTTTCCCAGGTCATCGGGACCCTTCTGGACTCTGGAACAGCATGAATAAAAAAGAACTCTAGAGGATATCAAAAATTTGCAGAAGCATTTTTATAGACGACAAATTTATCAGTGCCACAAAATGAGTCTCACTGACGAAGTTTTCCGCCCCTCTATTTCCACCTGGCGACGATTTGTCATCTTTTAAATACAACAAGAACAACATCGGCGCATAGTAAAGTGAATGGCTTTCGAGAGTAGGACGGAAAAGGACAAAGGACAAGGCAATAATGCGTCACAGCATAAATTTTATTTATTTTATAAGAGCATAAAGCCCCAGTTGTTGATCGCACAAAAGAGGTGACTTCACACTGGAAAATGGTACTTTGATTTGACTGAAATTAAAAAAAAAAATGTAATAGCTTTTCTTTAGAAATTACTCTATGAATAAATTTTAGAGCTAAAACAGCTTTGGGTAAATAGTTTGCCATTAAATTTCTTTTTTTCTCTGTTATTTCTTTGGAAATGAAAGCACCTTCTTGCCAAATGGCTGGCAACTTTGTTTGTCTAATACCTGAGATGCCTGGCCAACACTTTGTTGCTTTGGCGCGGTATTCAAAATAGGTTTTTAGTAGACTGTCCTGACAATGCGGCTGCCCCTGCACCACAAACTCTGACACGCCCACCCACAGCTCTGAGTGGGCAGTGCGCCCTTGAGACTGGCCACGCCCCCTCCGGATAGCTGCGTGGTTGTGTGACTGTGCGTGATATGAGCAGCATTTCAGCCACTTCACGTCAGGCTTTGAGCGTAATTTTTCTTGGGGAAAAATAACTTGAGCAGCATCACTAAACGAGCTTTTTACGCTGGCCTTGCCACAGAAGGAAAAAAAATGAAAATAAAAATAGGAATGGCTGAGGAGCTGTGGCAGAAGAGTGGCAGAGTGTCGCTGATGTCGTGGCAACGACGCGCTTGTAAAAGTTGAAAGATTTGCATAAGTAATTTGACAAAATGTAGTTGACAGTAAAAAGCAGCGAGCCATGCACACATGCACAACACCATAATACCACTGGCAGAATGATATGGCCAAGAAGTGAGGGCCATAAGTCGGGGGATGAGGAGCGATGACAGCCAGCGGTTGGCCAACAGGAAGGCGCAAATCTCGCCCACAAGATGGGGCCATTTTTCTTACTTATTCCCACCGACTGAAAACCACATAAGAGCAGAAACCGTTTCATTACCCCGAAATGAGAAATGCATGGAGGGAGATAATAAAATATAGACAAATGTACTTAAGGGCTTGAATTCTGTTTGAAGAAATATTTTTAAAGCCTCCATAAAAATAGAAGGGGTCTTGTTTCTATTTGATTGTTCGATTCCTTACATCTGAACTACTTTGCATGCGAATGTTCTGTCGTTATACGACTTGTTAGTCGCATCAAACATAAAATTCATCGACATTGCCAGCAATCAACTTATATCTTATCTAGCTTTCTAAATAAACAAAGGAAAAGTATCCAAGACGAATTTGAAAATACACTAAGCTATTTACTTTTATTTTTAAATTTTTTTGCACCCTCCATGAGAGTATTGAAATAAGGAAGGTACAACTCATAAAGAGCACATCAATTTGGCAGAACGGAAGCATAATATGCGCGCATAAATTTTATGCACTCCGACACCACAAAAGCGGTAATGATAATGCCGTGTCGCATCATAAAAATGTGATACCCTGCCGGCCAGCCCCTCCGTCCCGAAAAGGTGAGCACCCCAATAATAAACGGAAAAGGGGATCTGAAAAAAATGTACCTAAACAAATGCGACAAGCCACAAAAGCTCGCGTAAAAATGTATCTATGCATCCGTCGGCTATTGGAAGCAAAATAAATGTGTTGCTAAGCTTTCTTTACAGGACACTGAGAGAAAATTACACTTGAAATACAGTTGGGAAGACACGTTTACAAAAAGACAAAACAACCTCACAATAAAAGCTCAATTTTAAAATATTAATTATGCTGAATAAAGATATGTTAATACATTTATCCTAATCTGCCTTTAATTTATTTTAAAATAGTTAATCTCTTTAAAATATTTTCCACCATGTAGTTGGTAGTTGCCTAAGGACGCCGCTTATGGTATAACTGGGTGGGTGGGGCGCAAAACTATCCACAGCTGCAACGGCTGAGTGGTTGTCCCGGTGGTGGTTGCCTCATTCGTTGGCAACACTCCGTACACGCGACACGTGCGTCAAAAACTCAGCTTTGTAGCAACGACATTTTGTGCATTGTGTTGTGAAAAGTTGAATCCGTTGAAACTGGAATAAAATAATAATAGACATTGTGTGTCAGCAGCTGCCGGGGAAAGGTAAAAAGTGTGGCAACGAAATAATCGACATGTCTGTTAATTATGGTGAAAGTTTTCCCGAACTCATACACACACACGTCATTCCTTTTGCTGTGCTGGCTTTTTCGATTCTTGCTCCATTTTTTTGGAGAGGGAGTGGAACAAGAAGGAAAAGCTTGAGCGACAGCTGGCGGTGTCAGTAGCGGATACTTTGCTTGTTAGCGAAACGAGCGGCTTGTCATCACAACTCCATATCTACTCGTATCTGCAACTGTGTCGTCCTTTCCCGATGAAAAGTATCTGAAGCAGAAGCAGGAGAAGCGAACAATGGAGAGGGAATCTGGTGGCGAATGTGTTCCGTGTCATAAAGACACGCACAAATCATGCTTAAACTCGGCCTGTGCCATGGTCCTTTTTGCCGGCTTTTACCGTTGTCCTGGCTGCCTTTTGCTTAACTCGCAATTTATGGTTAATCGATGTTGTCTTTGAACGTGACCTATTTGCTTTATTTGCTATAGGTCTTCTGCCGCTGTCCTCTGAGTCCTGTGTGTCTCCGATGCCGCCAGGGAGTGAGCGTGTGTGTGTGTCACCATTATCCCTGTCGCACTCAGCGTCCTGCTGACGTGTTAAATCGTCTTTTTGTTTACCCTTACCCTCAATAAAGCCATAATTTATTTTTCATGTTCTATCGCAGTTCGTTAGCATCTCCTTTGGTTCCCTATTTCTTTTTTTTCGTTCTCAGCTCGTTAGCTGGCATTTCACTTTTTGCATACGTGGCGTATGCGCAATATAATAAAAAGAATCAGCAGCGAACCCCGGTGAAATCAATACAAGTGACGACCTTGACTTTTTCCGAGGATGCTGCAGTTTTTAAATTCAAGGTGCATTTGTTGCGAGGCAACATATGTTGCCAAGACCCGGGAAACCCCATTTAAAAGAAAGCTTTTAAAAGAAAGACTCGAAGTTTCTTAGAAAATTTTACTAAAAGAAAAGCTACCGAGAAAAAAGGACATGCTTTCTTTCAAATATAATAATAATTAATAAAACTAATGGTTAAAATTTTGATTTTAAAAAAGCTTAAAACTGTATTTTCTATGAAAAGTACCACTTTTTTCACAGTGACCTGTGACTAAATGGCGTGTCTCATTAAAGGACACTAAAATGCCACCTGGGGCTGTTAATTAGAGCACCGTTCATTACTCACGCCGTATTGGTCGTGACTGACTAACGGTCTGTCTAACGGGGTCATCAGCTAGGGGACTTTGAATTTTTTGAACCCCCTATGGATATATGTATAATTATACTATATACCTTCAACAAACAACTTCTGAATAGCTTCTAAGAGCTTTATGGGGTTGTTTACTCAGTGTGACATGCCAGTTACTCAAATCACATCAATCGATGTAATTTCCACTGTCCTCGAAAGCCTTTCTCCCGCTCAAGGTCCTCCGACTATGCTAGTTTTCCAGTAATTGTCTATTTTCGTTTGCTTTCTGAATAGTCAAATCAATGGTATTGATTGAAAAAATAAACATTTGACTAGTCAGGGCTGTTTACTTCATTACTTTTGGCCGATTCATGAGTCAATAAATCACATTAAATTGGGAAGCTTCTCGCACGGGTCAAGGATATGCCGAAATCAAAATGATGTCGCAATATTAAATTCTTTAGAAAATCAATGCTTCGCTTAGCCACATGATAGCTAATTGAATGCTCGCGTATTACACATACTGTATATGAGGCAGAAACTATTATGATGGTGATGTCATGCGTAAAATATTGAGGTGAATGCACACACTTACGCCCTCCGCCAAATTGAGTGCTAATCAAACTGGTTGAACCTCGAGTCGTCACAGTTCATTGAGTCAAGAGCCACCTGGTCAGAATTCATCCTCCCCCCTCACGTTGTCTGCTCTTTTGTGGGCGAAAGGTGGGACAACGTAGGCTATCTGGGCTACACTTGGAAAATAAGTCAGATTTGACAGATCAAATGAGTTAGTATTACAAACAAAATTGTACATTGCATACCACTTCTTTTCTTCAAAATCAATACAATTTGGAATACAATTTTAATAAATTAATAAAAATCAGAATGCCAACGGAGTACAAGGTAAATATAGTTATGATTATGAAGAACGAGCTGCATCTTAAAGTGTACATCCCCTCTAATTTGAGTAACAACATATGGCAGAAGCCCGTATTAGAAAATAATACAAGCTTACAGCTTGAATTTTCCTTTTTAGCAATTCAACTCGTCCGTAGTATTTAAGCGTCTTTAATTTAGCAAGTATCTATCATTTTTACGCCGTCAACTAAACCAACAACTTCTGACAAGCCTTTGAATGCATTGAACCGTAAATCCACTGCGCCATATACACCGACTGACAAGTCATATTTGGACAGATTCATTTAAAATGTTAATCAACCCGGCAAATTACAAAATAGCTTCGGTTTCTTAGAGATTGTCTGGCTTTGCCTTCGCGCTGCGGCATAATTAGAGGCCTTTGAGCTGAAATAAATCAATTCCGGGTGTAATAGCCCACGGCTGTGGCTGTCATTGGTGCCTGGCAACTAAAGCTAATCGAAAGTACGGGTGTTTGCTGAACCGACGGTTATTGTGGCATCATAGAAACAAAAATTTAATATCAAACATATTTACATTGATTGCCTCAAGGCAATTGGCAGATAATAAACAAGATTACCCTCGACAAAGCAACGTTATTTTTAATTAAGACCTTAAAAAAGTTGTACGATTTCTGAATACTGAGTTTATTTTAAGTAAAACAAACCAATGGGTTTCTTAAATAGACAAAAAATTAACGTCTTGTATAATTTTACGTTTTACTCTCTGAGCAAATAAAATTAATAGGCTCAAAACTTTCTTTCATGTCAAAAGAATCTAGACCACAGTAACTTTTCTGATCTACTTATAATTTTGAATCTATTTATTTTTCCGCAGATGCAACGCGAAAACGCCTATTCGAACGAGGCCGCTTTGAAGAACTTGGCCAGACGAGAGCTGGCCAATGGCCTCGAAAAGGATCCAATTTACAAATTGCGCCTGCAGTGCTTCAGCCGCGGTGCCACGGGCATCTTGGGCCTGTCCAGGTGAGCTGGTTCTCAACCGTCACATCCCTTCGGTTTCATGGGTTTAACTAGGACTAGAAATCATGGACTAAGGCGAGGTTTGCCTGTTTGCATAATGTGGCTGGTATGTGTTTATGGTTGGTAGGGCCTGATGCGGTGAATTGTTTTCTATTTGTTTACTATCTGGAAACAATTTTGGTTCTATGGAACTTTAAATGCCCTTTTAACGTCCTTAAAAGTTTTTCGTTTTTAAAGGCTACAGAACAGTTGGTATTTTGCAATTAAGCTATCAACCAATTTTGACATCAGGGGATATTTGATTTTCTTAAATGTGCATGTGATTCGTTTACCAATTTCTACTTCTGCCTGATATGGGCAATGGACTTGGGCTACTATGCCTTAAAAAATGCTTTTCATTTTCCAGGCCCTGCTTTTAGGGCTCTTGTGAAGCGCAACATCCTCGGGTTGGTGTATTATGAAATGGTTGAGTGTCCGACAAGTGATGGGAGCATGTACGGAGAAGATGGCCGAAATTGGCATTGCACTGAGCCAGGAAGGAAAATATGGCAAATGAAACTGAAACTTTCCCTTTTCCCGGCTGCTCCTGCCCCTGCCGTTGATGATGATGTTAAGTTCAGGCTCAGCTAGGCGCATGTAAATACAAGCATGCCGAGAGTTCGAGTGCATGTTGAACTAACATTCTCGAAAGCGCTTTCAAGTGTATGCAGGCCGGGCAGAAAAAATAGAAAAAACACTATGGCTATGAGCCCGATAAGGGGCTGAGTGGGAGTGGCAAAAATCGCTGACTGAATGCAAACAAACATAATTGGATTTCTCTAGTTGCTGTAGAGTATAGGCACACTCTGAGAATAGTTTTATGATTTCTAATTTGGATTTGGGAATAATAATGATATGCAAGGTAATAAATATAGAAGAGTCAGTATTTGGGGCAGGATTCTTACTTAATAATGCAATAATTTATATTTATTTTAACATAGTTTTTTATACCTGTACCACTCCTCTTGCCCACAAACATGCTAGTCGGCTCAGCCCACTGCTAGTTTTTATTTCAATTTGAGCTTCGAGGAGCAACCGCGACCACCTGTCTCCATCCACCATCTCCTGCACCTCCTGCCTGGTTGTCTGCCAACAATTTCTCGTTTTGAATATATAGACATTTTGTACAAAATCCTCCCATCTGCAACATATGTACGGATGGTTGATGGCGGTGTGTGCACTTTGTTTGTTTGCCGGCTGGATGGTGACTGCGCCTATTGGCCTCGTGCTCGTGAGCGCGCATTTTCATTTGTATTTATGCAATTTGTTTGTTTGCCAGCCGGAAAATTCAATGCATCGAATGCATAGCTGAATGATCTCCAGTCCCCCGCTGCCTGGGTAGCTATCAATGGCATATTCTTATGCTTTTGTCCGGACCAATAATAGGAATATATTTTTCATTTTTGCGTACTCATCCATATTGAGAATCAATCTGTGCGGTCCTCATTTAATTTCGTTTCTTACCTCCCAGATCCTTTCGAGTGATGGACGACGATGGCAGCAAAACTTTGAGCTCCGAGGAGTTCAAGAAAGGAGTAAAGGATATGGGCCTGGAGTTGAGCGATTCAGAAATTCAAGATATGTTTACAAGGTAAAAGAGACTCATAAGTTAAGCCAGACAATATAATTGATTGTATTATTTTCTTATCTAGATTCGATACAGATGGAAGTGGCAATATCAATATGACTGAGTTTTTGGTTAAACTAAGAGTAAGTTCGATTACCTTTAATAGTGTTATGCTTAAAAGCCAATTAATGCTTGTTAAATATTTTCAGCCACCAATGAATAATTCACGTATCCGTGTCATCGAAAAGGCTTTCGAAAAAATGGACGTCAATGGCGATAATCAAATAACAACTGCCGATTTGAAAAACGTGTATTCGGTACGCGAACATCCTAAGTACTTGAGTGGTGAGCTGACAGAGGCGGAGATTTTCACGGACTTCCTAAAGAACTTTGAGGCAGGTGCCCCGAATCCTGACGGAATTGTGACCAAGGAGGAGTTTCTCAACTACTATGCCACGATCAGTGCCTCGATCGACAATGATGCATACTTTGATTTGGTCATGCGACGCGCATACAAACTCTAAATAGTGTTTCTCCTTGAAATCAGAATTTTAACGTCCATTTGCCGCCTTTGAAGCTTGATCAGTTGAATCAATTGCACTCACATGTATTAATAACTAAATGCCAAGCCAATGTTTTAAATTTTAATTAAATGAACCCGTTAAAAGTTGAGAAGAGACTGTGGTTTCAAACTTGTCGGTTAGGCACGGCTTAAAGTGAATCATAGACACATATATTTGATTTCAAGTATAGGGCTCTATAGAAATTACAAATTAATTTAAATTGAGCTAAAAATCTGTTGACCTTAAGCGGCATTTACTAATCTTTGGCTTTGCCCAGAGATTTTCACAGTGACAACCCAAATCAGTAGGGCCGTAAACTTACCATGTCCACCCCCCCTAATGCGTAGGAATTGCGTGTAGATTTGGCCAAATAATGCGCTATAATAATTTATTAAATTAAAGCCGCGTGCTAATTAGCATAAAACTAATTAGATTACTTGTACATGTGAAGCCACAAAGCACGGCATAATACTCGCTGAACAAGCGACAAAGTTGGGTTTTGGGGTTGATGTGGGATACGCGGCGTATGCGCAATCGTTAGCAGGGTTTTTGTCGCTTTTAATAAAAGTCAGTTTGGCAAAAAGTCACATCAGCTACCATAGACAGAACAAATAAGCCTGATTTGCTTATGTTTTGTATCTCCATCGGGGTTGGACAGTTTAAGCACGTACTGAAAATTGTAGATGTTTCTTTCCAGTTTTTTATTTATCAAAGTTATTAAAATTGTTTATGATAAAATGGATTAAATATGACAAACCTTACAAATTAGAATATAAATATGCATACAAACAAATTTATTTAGTATATAATATCCAAAAGATTCTTTAAAAATTTTGCTAGATAGACACACCTTCTCACTCCACAAGTCCTTTGGCATCTTTCGAGCCCGATTAGAGGCTTATTGGAGCAAGGGCGGGAAGCAATTGGCAAACTCTAATTACATTCATTTCGCATCAATGATAAGAATACCACGTCTGATTATAAGATGGATAAACAAATCCTGGGATTGGCGACTTAATATCCACTAATATCTATAACAGCTCGGCAAACGACTTGAGCTGATTATGCTTAGGCCAGAGTTTTTGTATGCCATGTAGACAATGTTAAAAGTTTGCTCAAGTAATTAAATCACTTCGATCTTTGCTAATTACAAGGCAAGAACATGCATTTAACTATGGAGGAGAAGCGTGAGCGCGTGCTTCCTTGTCTTATTCTGTATGAACTTGTGTTCGTATGTGTGAGTGTCTGTGTGTCCGCTTTGTCTATGGGCATGTGGATGTGTGTGTGCAGCTTGTTAGACAAAGCCCGGCATCGCCAACATCCTCATCAGGCCAAAAGGGCCAACAGCGGCAACAACAACAATGTTGACAAGTTACCTGCCAAATTAATGCAAACATGAAACGTGCGGCAACGGGAATATTAATTAACTAACTACCTGGGACACACACACCACACTCCCACACACTTGCAATATAATCAAAGAGACACTGGAAAAAAATGTACAAATCATACAAAAATTAGAAATACTACTACTTTCAATATGATTATTATTCAGGGCTTTTTATTTTAAGAATCTCTTTATTGAAGAACTAATAGTTTTTATCAGTGCAACTCTCACACTCACGCAAATATGCCGACATTTGGCCTCGGTGTGTGTGTCCTCGTGTTGGCAGTTGGCACTTGGCGCTGTCAGATTTGAAGGCACATTCTCGGCTACATAGCTGGGCTTTGCTAACTAACTTGATCCCTGACCCCACATCCAAAATAAGGCAAAGGCTGGGCCAAGTCGGATCCATATATAGCTTCAGCCGCTGCCAAGTGGCGTATGATTAATGAACGTTTCATTAGCGCGACTCGCATTACATACACGGTTTGGCAGCGGCGGGCATTGGGAGCGGAGTATTTGCATTTCAGCAGGTTGCCGAACGTGATCACAATATTATCTCTTCATCAGCACTCTGTCCGGTGCTCCGGAAAAATGCGGGTAAAATGCTGAAAGCAAGTCGGAGTGCCAGGTTCGCTTTTAGCCTTATTTCCAGTCCCCTTTGCCAAGTTCGACTACCTCCTTTTTTGTTGGGCGTCCCATGTAGTTGTTTTTCTTCGGCTTTATGTCGAAATGGCTGCAGTGAGCCACCGCCTCCTTGGTGGTAAGTTAACCCGGCTTACTCGCACGTAGGTTTCTCTCGCGTTTTACCTATAGTACCCTCGCCTCCGATTCCCGCTGCCATGACAGCCAGGTCCCGTTAACGAGTTACAATGATTTTCGTGCTAATTAAAATGGTTTTTGCATTTAGTTTACCGCATTAGCATTACGTTTAGCAGTTGGGCAAACAGCTGCAACATAAATTACGCATACGCAGTGTTGCCGGTAGCACCCGTGAAAAGAAAATGTTGGCCAAGTCTGTTTGACAAGCGCCAACCAGTGGCGCCTAATGAACTTCCACCATCGCTGTCAGAATTTCAGCTTCTTTTGTGAGCCTGCTGGATCACTATGTAGATTCTGCATATCAGGGTGCAGACTAATTAGATGTTTGAGATGGTTTGGCAGATATGGCTGAATGCTTGAAGCTAGTTAGTAGTTTTCAATTACATACGACATGATGTCTTTTTTCTGGTGGGCTACGCAGAGCGAACCACGGCTAATTACTAACCTGATATTTGGAAGGATATTTCTGAAAATAAGCAAAATACATTTTGCAGTGCCATCACAAATATACTCTGAATGCAGGCTTAGTATCAAAATCTAACTTCAATAAACTGCTTCCACTTATTGGCAAATCTAAGTAAAGTTATACTTTCCCGAAATGGCTTATTCGATGCTCCTGGCACATGCCGTAACACGTGTTGCAAAGTTTCAGCCAATTCGGATAAAGTTATTTTTTGGCCAACAATAACCAAATGCGAGAAATTCTCTCAAGTATTTTCATAGCTCCTAATGCCAGGCATTTTATTGTGCCACCACACTCTCTAGTTTTAAGATGAGAGAACTAGCAACTCGCATGCTGGACACGTGTAAAACTTCAGTTTTAAACACTTGCAAACAGCAAAATGTTTTCGATTTTTGAAGCATACCTAGCTTTTGTTTTATGAATCACAGCTCCTTTCAGGACATGTGTGTGAATGTGTGTTCCAAAAGCACAGCCATCGAAATCCCCAGAGCGAGCAAAAACTTTTAGTTTCATATCGGCCACGTTTACTGTCAATAAAACTTTGCTTGAGCCGGCAAAATGAAAAGAGAAGCAAAATCCCTTTAAAAAATATATATATAACATTCTGTGTGTGGGAGTTGGTATAACCAACAAGAAACAGGGTTAGGGAATACAGAATCACGGAGCGTAGTTGAGAGCATGTCTTATAAAACATGCAAATGCAATGAAATTACACGTTACGTATACGCCCCGTGTTGCAGCCTTCAAACGAATGAACGGAGCCAAACTCCACACACCAAAGGTTTATGCAAAATTATGCTAAAAATAAAAATGCCCAAGGAAAAGAAACAGAAACGTGAAAAGCAAAATCCACGCACATTAAATTAAAGTGCTTTCAATAAAGTCAAATCGTGACTTTGGCGCTAATGACGAGGACAAAGATGAGCCGGCAAATCTCCCTGTTGGTTCTTGACAAATTGACTTGCAAATCTCTTTTCACTTTTTATTTTTATTCATTTGTTATATCTTTGATTCGGTGCAAGTATTTCATAATTTTCGATGGGCGTAGCCGAAGCGGATGCCGCACTAAAAGCGCACTCAGCTCAAAGACAAGCAACGGAAATAGTTGTAAAAACGGTCTGGCAAAAGAAGCAATATGCGATTTTATCAACTGAAAAAAAATATTTTCATATATTATTATAATAAAAGAACTGTGCATGATGAAAATAACTGACAAACTAATACAGTTTTCAATTCAGACAATTTTTTAAAGAAAAAACATTTAGAAAATATTTTACCTTTCAAATAAAAGATTTTTCAGAGTTTTCCCTTAGTGCCTGATTCCATCGTGTACGTGCCATGGGCCAAACAAAACACGCGACCTAGCCGGGTCATAAGCAGCCAAGGGGCCTGGAAGGGATCGGGCCGATTCGATGGCCGACAATGACCCGGGACCGTTTGGCCCGTGGGGGGCCAAAAACGAAAGCCGCAGCCAGACGACCGCCATTTATAGCGAATGGATTTGGATTTTTCGGATTTGCGCACAAGATAATGTGCAGCAATGGCTCTCGCCTTTCTCCTTTCTCCTTGCTCCTTTCTCAGTGCTCCGGTCTCCAGTAACCGTTCTCCCCGATCTCCTGCAGTTGCATGTGAGAGGGCTAAGCAGCAGCTCGAATGCAACGGAAATAGTTTTGTGTGAGATTTATTGCCACTCTGGAGAGTCATAAAACGGAAATTGTACACAAAATCCTTTCGGATGCTCGTTTAAGTTGCCAGCTGACCCACCTCCCCTTGCATCCTAAGTTCACCCAGGGCTTTTTTGTGTTTGTGTGTGTCTGTTAGACATTTTATGTGTTGTGTCATTTTTGTTTACTCTGCTCCGCTGTTAGCTTGTCCAAATGTTTATGTAAGTCATCGCTTCGTTTATTCGATGACCCCCCCTCCATCTCTATCCCATTTTGGAATTATATTTTTGCCCATTTTGTGGAAATGCTACTGCTGCTTGTTGGTCGCCTGATTTTCTGCTAGCTAAAAACTCTTTGCACAGCAATTGCAGTTTATTTATTTTATTTACCACCCTTTGAGTGGGTCAAATGCATTGTCCACTTCCTCCTCGCCGTACCATAAATTCCGTCCGGCTCTTGCAGAGACACAGATTAAAATGCCCACTTTGCTGAATTGGTTTACTATAGAAATGGGATAAAAAAAAAGAGGATGCCGGTACGAAATCTACGAAAGCCCTTTTGTCGAGTACAATATGGAAACGTGCATTAAACTTTTAATAAGCAACTCAGAAGAGAACAACATTGCTGCAGAGTCCAGAACTTAATTAAGAAACTATATCAACGGAGGATTCAAAGACAACTATGTATCAATGCGAAAAGTTCAATGCGAAATAAACTAAAATGTTGCATTCGATTGAGTTCTTAGGTTATAGAATTCGAGTTCATTAGAATTTTGCCAG